TAAGGTGTGCAAAGGAAAACCCTGGATCAGTACTCCTGCTTCTGTATCCGATTTTGACCTCAAGACCTACCTAAGTTGTCTGCAGACAGTTTGAAGGGTTTCTTTCCTCTGTCCTGGAAAGGGGGTGGGGGGGCGGAAGGCCCTTCAGCTCCTCTTCTCTGTAGAGTAGGCGGCACCCTGGTGTCCCTTGGAGTCACCACCAGTGTTCCCTCTCCCCCTTCAAGTACCACCCACGAGCGTCAGCTGGGAAGTACAGTGTGCGAAGCACTGGGGTATACAGCCCCTCGCTCACGTGAGCCCCAGGTCAGCTCTTGATGGATTTTTAAGATCACAATTATGTTAAAGGCCAGATTTCAAAGTCAAGGTGGAGTGGCACTCGATGAGCCATCTGATTACTACTTAAGAGGAAAAAGGGAAAATCGGAAAAGGGAACTGTCAGTAACAGACGGCCGCATCTCAGTTTCAATGGTGCTCATTGTTCTTTAGCGTGTGTGTGAGATCTGAGACTACACCTAAATGTCTCTTGGGGAGTATTGTGGATAGATCAGGAAACAATAAAGAACTTGCTGTCGGTCCATGCAGACTAAAAAATGTTCAAAGGCAGACATTGGAAAGTGCAAGTTTCGTCTGGCCTGCGTTTGAGAAACTTGGCGTAGGGGAGAAGCTGAGTCCTTAAAGACAAGGGCACCCCCTTAACTATGCATTAATTTATGCTCGTGTGGCACTGCACTAGGCCCTTGGAGAGAGACACAAATGAGTCAAACACGCAGCCAACCTGCAAGGAGCTCTCTGTCTGCTAAGGCAAATCAGTCATAAGTCAAACACATCAAATAAAGTGATTCATGACACAGATATCCAGGTGACATGTCGTGGAAATTCAGAGGAGGAGAAAAGATTAGTGCAGGATTTCTTAAAGAAAATTCTCTTGTTTCAGACATTTGTCAAAGGACGCTCTAAAGACCTCCAGAGACCCCTTTGGCCACGCCCCCTGGTCAAGGGATGTAAAATGGCCACATTCCGGTAGGTCCTTAGTTCACGTCTGTTCTTGATAGAACAATTAACAGAGTAGAAAAAGGTGTTCGAAGACGCATTTGGCCAGAGTTAAAAGCAAGTGCAGCATTTTTCCTGTTCTTGAGTCACTGACTCACTTAATAAATATTTCCTAAGTGCCTCCCTCTGAGGAACAAATGTGGTATTGCATGGACGTGCAATTTATGGTTACAGTAAAGGTCGCTCTGTGTAACACAATGAGATAGTTGGGGATTTGAGAGTGTAAATACATGGAGGACTTAAGATGGTTGGAATAATTTAGTTACCTCCTCAGAAAGTCACGTCAGAGCAACAGCCCTGGAGGTGACCTGGAAATGTTGTTCCCGTGTATTTGCTTAGGCAGGTCCTCTCAGCTGGGCACAATTTTGGCACTCAGGGGACATTTTTGCTTGTCACAACTTAGGGTGGGGATGCTAATGGCATCCAGTGGTAGGTGGAGGCCAAGGATGCCGCTGAACATCATACAATGCACAGGACAGCCCCCACATCAAAGACATACCCAACCCAAACTGTCAGTCCTACCAAGGGGGTGAGAGATGCTGTCTTAGGTTTCTGTTCCACCTTAAATCCCTAGCTGCAATCCCTGAAACAATGAAGGTCCATGTGGAGAGGCCTGGTAGTCACATACCCCTAATGAGAAGTGAGCATCTCGGCCAGACAATCAGAGAACCCAGCCAGATATCTGTCATGTCATCAGGATTAAGAGCAACTTGTCTTAGAGATGGAGGAGGGAAGGGAGAGAGGGAAAATGCAGACTCTGCTGGGCAGTAGGATCGGCCAGCTAAGGGTCCAGTGGCCAGCTGCAAAGCTAAGGTAAGAGGCATAAAACAAGGGCCAGCTGTGCTATGGATGGATTGCCCATTGCTGCCTGTTTGGTGGCAGCAAGAATTCACTCTGAGTGTTTTCATAGCTGCCAATCCTGCTTTGCTCTTCGTTGCTTCATTGAGATCTTCACTTCTAAGCTCTTATCCTGTGGTCTTCCCCACTCACTCACCCCAAGACCCCATGGCACCCTGCCTCCCCACCCTGCTCAGCCTTCCCCGGCTGGTTCTCTCCACTGGAGAGTTTCTCTCTCTCTCTCTCTCTCTCTCTCTCTCTCTCTCTCTCTCTCTCTCTCTCTCTCACTGCATAGCCATGGCAGTTGAGAAAGGGGACAGAGGGCCTGGATCTTATTGCTGGGATACATTGGGAACAGAGTGCTTCTATAAACCAAGGATAGGAATATGAACCCATTTGCCCCCCGAAATATTTGGGTACATGGTGATCAGACTCTGGTTCCATCAGGAAAGTTCTGAAGTCTACTGAATGTTTTGTTTATGTATTTCATTACAGTGTAGGTCTCAGAGATATGATGTAAAGATAGCATTTTAGCGGTCTTTGCCGACCAATGATACGCAACACTCCCAGGCTGCTCCAGGTAGCTTCACGGGCCCCCTGCCAACCTCAACGATGCACACTGTGGAGGCTGGACCACTGGAGAACACACTTCCTGTCCATGGTGCATCTGTTTCTCATGTGAGCTCAGCAAAGCTGGGGTCCCTTCAGCACAGAGCTTGGCATTCAGTGGCTGCATCACGAATAGTTGATAAATTCACAAACGCTCCATTGGTCTGAAATAATAAAACATTCTGAGCACTAAAATGACTTGCACAATGAGACCTGGTTTCTCAGAGATGGATCTCTGACTCTTCACGCAGGGCTCTCTCACCACGCTGACCCTCTGGCTGTGTCTGGACCGGCACAGACACACCGCCACAGGGTCTGCCGAGAAACTAAACCATTTCCCGGATCCTGCAGCAGCCAGGGTGTTCCACAGAGAGAGCTTCGCCTGATTCCTTTGTACACCTTCAAGTGGGGGGGCAGGGGTCACGGAGAGCAAGTCCTCCAGAGATGGTGCTCGCCTCCCCTTTAAGGCAGGGGAACCCTGCTTTTGATTTATTTTGTATTTCACCACAGGGCTGAGCACACCCTAGAGGCATTTAATCTGTTGGCTTGAATTGATCTGAGATGCTGGTCTTGGCCCCGTGTGAACCTTCACACTGTAGAACTCAGCAGGTCATTAGAACTCATTTCACTGGAAATGCAGGGGACCCCGACAGCTCCAACCAACTCTCCCTAAGGTCCACGGGTCTGGTCCAAGGTCATAGCTTTGACATGAAAGGCATTTACAGCAAAGACATGCTCTTCCTTCGAAGTCTGTGTGTTGAAGACATAAGACGATCCAGGGGCAATAACATCAGTCCCCTGCTCAAAAACTCTCCATTTCCTGAAGAGTAGAGGGCAACGTCGGTAGACCAGCAGTCTGATCCTAATTTACCTCTTCAAATTGTTTTCCCGTTCCTCCTTTTCATCTTCCATATGCTTCAGCCAAGCTGAGCCATCTTCCTGACTCTGCGGAAGGAACTCTTACCACTCGCTCTGCCACGGACAGCCTGCCCTCTCTCCCCCTGCCCTCAGGTCCACCCGTCTCTGTATAGCTCAGTGCATCTGCTCCATTCTCTTGTTCAACAAACACTTGCTATGTGTCTTTTACACATCAGGCGGTGTGCTGAATGCTAGGAATAGAGGTGACCAAGAGAGTCAAGGCCACCCGTGAAGTATAAATTCTCCAGCAACAGCTGATATAAAACACACGATGTAACTCACTGTTGACCACGTGCAGTGTAGCGTGAGGACCCTGTGACAGAAAGTAGCAGGAGGCTCTCGGAAGGAGAAGCCACGGGCAGCTCAGTGGGAGGACGCCATTCCAGCTGAGAGCTACGACCGTGAGAGCTGGAGGAAGAGCCCTCCTGGTCAAGGGCAGCCGATGAGGCCAACACAGGAAAGCTCTGCCCATGAGTCTGTGTCAGTGATGCTTTATCTCCCCACCACCCTGCCCACTCTGTCCCCCAGGCGGAGGGACACTTACGTCCTTGACCTCTCACGCACCTTCTCTGTTCGGCTTACAATGTGCCTCACTTTCTGCCCCAGAGCAAGGCCATTATCTCACCTCCCTTGAGGGCACCATCATTCCAAGTTCATGTTTGAAGTCCCCCTAGCAGAGCAGCATGCGCCTCTCCTCTCTCTCCCCACTCGTCCGCCACCTTCAACATGTCCAAAGGTCCTGTGGAGGGAACTCGTCACACCCAGCAGAGACAGGGCCTTTCCCGATGGGACCTGCACGTAACGGGTTCTCTACTCCCCTCCTTCCACAGTCAGCAGCGCTATCTGCCGGCCCCTTTACTCACGGTCTTTACCAACTAGAGAGATGATATAACGCAGGATGTCTTGTGGCACTGAAACGTGAAAAGCCCTTTGACACCCTCTGATCACAAGAACACAGTTCTAGAAGTGCATGAGCAGGAGCTATTGACTCACGTGACTTAAGGCAGACCTCTGGAATAGGCGTTACACTTCAAATTTAAGGCAGTAAGTAAGTACATATAGATTGTTTACTATGAAGAATAGCATAAAGTGCTAGAGAAAGGAAAATGAAATCATCATATAAGAAAATGCATGCACAGCACCAGAATGCAGGCTGCAGAAACAAAGTCAAGTCACTGGTAAAGAAGAGTTAAAAATCAGAGCGTGAAAATCGGTTTCATAAAAGAACAGTGTTCTGCGATCGCCTCATTATGGTATTGAATTCTACTTGAGTAAATTAGGAGTGGTGTTCTCTTGTTTAGCTATCATTAAAGAACTCAGTGGTAAATGTCAGTATCCCCACCAAGATCCCACTGAGTTTTGTGAAATTCTCCAAAACCCTCTCCAACAGGAGAATTTATAAGCTCTGCGTGCTCAACCATCTTAACGTGTGCGACTGACTGAGAGATCTAAGACTCACTGTACGCAGCTCGATTCCAATTTGTTTGTTTTTAACAATGGCTGCAACACACCGCATTATGTCACGTACCGATTTGATGGAAAACGACTTCCTGTGTCCCACAAGAAAGATGTTTTTAAAAGCCTACCAGCAGCACTGTTATTTTCCTTTCCCTTTGCAATGGCAGGTGCTTTGCCACATCTTCCTTCAGAGCATTCATGGGCAACAGAGGGAGCGCCCGGTGAACAGGCCGGCGTGGGCCACGGTCCCCTTCTCGTCTGTCCACAGCTGCAAACACATTGAACACTTTCACAGTTTTCACAAGATAAGCAACCCTTAGAAACACCCCACGGCACGAGCTCCAGGAATGAGACTGGAAAGTCTGCAAGTATTGTTTTTAAGAAAGGACATTACCCTTTTCTGAGTTAAGTTCAGGCAGCTGCATGCCACATCCTCCAAAATCAGCAAATGTTCCCCTAGTCTCATTTCTCTGCGGCCGGCCTTGGTGTGCTCCACTGTTAATGCTTAGCAGCATAGAACAAACCTGAGAGGAGCAGAGAAACACTCATTCATCCTGATCATGGAACCGACTGACGGAGAGGGGAGGGGTGGAGGGGGGAGGGCGGGCTGGGGAGGAAGAATAGAAATTCTTACAGAAGTTGGGTAATATCTAAAAGTGAGTTAGGGGTCCTAGTGGGATTCCTCCCCCTTTTAACAACAAAGGGCAGCGTGAAAGAATATGCTCAAGCTTACTTTGTCTTCCCGCTTCATTTGATCTGAAAGAACAATCAGATAGGGATGATTTCTGAAGACGGCTCAGAATAGAAAGATCTGGAATGCCCCCGGTGCTGGCCATCATTGTCAACAGGAGGCATTCCAGGTACCGACACCAGCACTGGGAAACACTCAGATGCTCAGCACTGTGTCTTTCATTTGAAAATCGACTGCTGGGAATTCTTTTTACACAAGGCATTGGATGGTTAAGTGTTTAGAGGAGGACTGGACCCTGAAGGAGAATAAAGCGTGAGCCTCAGAGGCTGTGAGCGGATGCAGGGGGGAATCAGATATTTTAAAGTTAGAGTGGAGGACCTTCGGGGGGAGAGAGGAATTGAGAGAAGCTACAGAAAGAAAGAAAATAAAGAGGTTCTATCTCCCTGGACCCAAATCTCTCATTTGACCTCCAAGCAGAGGTGACACGTGCTTCTTTAGGTCCCCGCACGCAGGCTGCTTGCGTCCAGTAATCAGACAGTCGGAAACAAAGTGAAACATAAGGAGTCTGAGCTAGAAATCCCCTTGGAGGATTTCTGCCGAGAAATTTATGGCTTTTGTATCCCAGATAAAGGCCTCAACTTTTAAGAGATAGTACAGATTAATCGTTTTTAAAAATCTATTTTTACAGATATGTATGTCTCTGGCTGCGTTAAATATTTAAAAGAGCCGACTTAACAAAAGCTCAGGATTGGATTGCGTGCGTAATAAAGTCAAGAACATGTTTGAAGGCCTTGAGGCTTTGCTAATTCTTAATTTATTGGGAAAGCAACACCTTTCAAAAGTAGCCTCTGTGGGCCCTTTGAATCATGTAACCGGATGGGTGATTCTGTTTGCTTTTTGTTTCATCCTTAAGGACACAATTCTACTGAAATATATTTGATTCTATCTTCGAAATATGGAAAGTTCTAAGGTTATAAATAATTGTATGGCTACCAGTTAATTGCATGTGAAAATCAAGAGATATGGTTTATTTCTACTCTGGAGCTACCTGCTGTCTTTTGTGCCACACAAAATACATTTTATGGAATGCAAACCTTAGAAAATGTTGAAAAAGCTAAAAAGATTTTAGGTTCTATTATTGACCCTAATTTATTTTTCTCAGTTTAGCAACATATTAAATATATTTAATAATGTTCAGTTTTTATAGATTTTTGCCAGGGATACCATAAAATTGACCTCAGATGAAGAAAAAAAGTTCTTTACTTTGAATATCAAGGTAAATTGGTCACTAGCAAATGTGTTTTTTGAATCTTCTTTTACAATTCTTCAATTATATCTAAACCTCTAAGAAATAAGTTCATCTTTACCAAACTACTTTTAGGTTGTTTTTTTTTTCACTCCTTAAGAAACTATTTAAAGCTCCTAATCTGTGATTGTTAAAAATTTTCTTCCCACTTATGAAGGACAACATTTTAATCTTTGGAGAAGTAAAGTGGTTGTTACACTGCTGTGGAATATTGTAAATGCAGATGACAGGAATTTGAAGTGGGTTGTTTTCTATTTTCGAAGGAGCTGAAACAAAAATTTAAAGAGGAAATCACAGCTCTTCCATTCTTATTTTCTGGACAGCTAGCATTGGCCAAGTGAAAAGAGATCAGAACTAGTATCCAGAGTCAGACAAAGAGTGTCTGGGGCAGGATGAAGGAGACAGGGGTGGGAAGAGACAGGCCGTGATGCTGGAAAGTGCAGGAAGCAGCAGCAGCAGAGCAAAAGCTGAACACTGAAAACTGGGCTCATTCTACAAGCAACCAAATGCAACCTTTATGCTACAGATATAACTTGAACCTGTGTTTGTTCAGTTGATGATCCTCTGATTTTCAAGAATAAGCTTTAATACACTGCTTATCATATTGATTACTCTAAGCTTTGCCTGGCCCTTATCAAAAAGACTTGAATTGTTACAGTATTTGTAAAGAACCCTATCACCTAAGGGAAATCAATGTGAAAATATTAGCCAGTTTTACCCAAAATGCACAAAGGGGATCACATTTGGTTTTGCTGATGTTGCTTTTTTATTTCAATAACATTCCTAAAACAAACATTAAGATAACCTTATATACAGTAGGAATAGATACTTGGTACTCTTTTGAGAGGGAAGCTCAGCTAAAGGAATAAGGTGCCGCATACAAATGCACCGATTCGTTCTGAGGAATATCGTCCCAATACAAGTACTGTGGTACGTCCTTAGGAATGAGTGAGTAGTCTATAGGTTACCAAGGACCATCACCTAAACACATTTTCTATAGCAAATCCCAAATTTAAAAGTTCAACTTGACACACACACACAAGTATACACAAACTGAAGATGAATTTTAAGATATCATAAAGCTAAGAGTGATAATGATGTATTGCTGATATAAGGCAGATGAATGTTTCTGGTGCTCACTTGCTAGGGAATTAAAATCTCCAATGACCTGAAATAATATAGGTCACATGTACCTGGACACTAAGAGCCATATATTTAATCAATATTACTACATGAATTTAATTTAAAAAAAGAAGCATATGTTGCCTAGGCAGATATATGCATTACCTTAGATAGGTGGCACTTGCAATAGGACATGAAAATATATTTGTCACCTCACTATTTGAGGGTCAAAGAAATGTTATATATCTTGATATGGCACTATCACTGAAAGTTTAGGATGTAGGTCAAATTTTTCTCTATCAGATGAAACCCACCAAATCAGTTTTCACTTAGATGTTTCAATAAAATTGTCATTTTCTACAAAATGCCTACAGATGGGTTACTCTGAGTTGCTGACCAGAACTCTTGCAAGGAAAAAAAGCAAGGAAACAGATTGAGGTGGCGCTGGAGATGATTTTAGTCTTTTGACTTATATTGTCCACCTCTTGTTCCTGTACAGCTTTCAAATTGCTTCTAATGGGGATGTTGGCTCCCAGTGAAAGACAGAGGACTTGAATGCAAGGTGGCCATTGCCACTGCTGTGCAGGACTTTGGCAGGCACCCAGCCTCAGGTCTGGTGGCTTGTACTTCATCTAGCTGCCTACTTTTTCTTCTTGGTGCACTTCTACCTTCAATCTTGTTTTTTTTTTAATTGCAAAGTTATTTAAAAGACCTAACTTTTTTCTGGGCTGTCACTTTAGTTCTTGTGTGAATTTCTCACATCAGTTTCAATTACCCTCAATACTGTGCAAATAGGTCCTATTGCAATATATGATGAGAATCTCATGGAAGTATACCTCCCTCCAAATACTGTATGAAATATGCCCCTAAGTATCCATTTTGCATTGATCTAGTAATTGGCATAGGATTATGCAAAGTCAGTGGCAGCTGTCTCACTTCTTACTTACGTTCATGTACGCTTTTAAAGTAAACAAAAAAGTTAAGTATTTCATTGTCCCCATAGTTAAAAACACTGTATTCTACACTTAAATATTTCTTAAGAAGGTAAATCTCATGGTAGGTATTCTTACCAAAATAACATTTTTTAACCAATAAATACTTTCATTGTTAGAGTTTTTAACATTTTTTGCTAATTTATAAAAATTATATATATTCCTGGGTATGTGTTTCACGAGTGACCTTTTCAACCCACTTCACTAAGACTATCAGCATGTATTTGATTGCACGTCCTAATAGGTGCCTGCCTTTCAGGCTAACTTATATTTTGCAAAACACATGCCCCCTAATCACGCATTTATCTGATATAAGGATGTCTGAACACCTACATGGAGGACACTCCCAGCTTATGCAAATGAGACTCCTTCCCAATTGGGTACTTGTGTCTACAGGTGAAAGATACAGCCAAAAGCATCCCTGTCAAAACTGAGCAGTCAAATCTCCATATATTTTCCGTTTTAGCTATAAAATCAGTCAATACATGTCCATGCTGACTCCTTGGGCATGAAATTGATTTAAAGACTGTCTTGTTTGTGTTTCACACGATGACTAAAATATCTATGCACGGTGTAACTTTTATATGTAAAGTCATACCGCGTTGATGGATTTTGTAGTTCTTTTATGACAAGGCAATATAAAAAAAAAAAAACCTTCCTTTCCGTGACTACGAAAGAAAGCTCTAGGGTTAAATGACATTGCTCCTCCAGCTATTTGTCTGTCAGAGAGAATGGTAAATTGCAGCCTGTCTCAAGGTTGGTGTTTAGACACATTCTGAGATTAATGGTTTTGCATAGGCACTTTGGACTGCAAGTGATTTTGAGATGAGCTCTATGAAGAATATCCCTTGGTCCGAACTAGGCAGAAGAGCTTTCTGAAGTTTAGTACTACAAGCTCTATGTAAATGAAGCTTCATTGGGAAACAGATGACACTGACATTGAAAATTATACGGCTTCCTGGTATCTTAAAAACTGAAGAAGGATCTTTAGCTAAACCTTAGTGACTGGCCCCATGAATATCTTGCTTTTATAAATATAGAGCATAGAGTCATTTTTCTACTGAACATTTTCAACAAGCCTGTGCTTTTGTACTTAAGCAGATGTCCAAAGGAACTTTTGATATGATAAATGAACAATCGCAAAGAAAAAGTTAGTTAAGTAGTACAAGTCACATGAGAAAACAATTCTGCTAAGAATGTGCTGATTCATTTATTTTTAATAACAGTTTGTTTTGAATGCTGCACTATAATCTTATAGGTATTCTTACAGCTGGTGAACTTGAACACCTTAAAGGTGATGAACTGAATATTGAAATATGCAGAAGTCACACAAAGGAAAACTGCATAGTAGTTTATGCTTGCATTTTTGAGCAGTTATGCTGACTACTTCTGTAAATTAATTTCTCTATCTGGACCTATCATGAAACTCATGAGAATAA